ATATGGATCCTTGAAATAGAAATATTATTTCACACTTCATATTTGTATAATCTTTTATGATTTAGAGTGCTTTCCTTATAGCAACCTTGTGACAGAGTAGTGCAGGGATTAGAGGATGAACCTAAAAAGAGACTTGCCCTAGATCACATAGCTAGTGTCTGAATTTAGATTTGAACCCAGATCTTTTGATGTCAAGTACGGAGTATTTGCTGCTCTAGTGTGTCAACTGGACTACATTGTCCTTTGTATAAAACCCAAGGAAGGGCAGGGCCCCTCTGATTTGATTGCCTCTTGAAAACATTGAGAACTTAGTTGGCAAGAGGAGCTAGGGCAGAGGGCAGCCTGCGTCTGTGCGTCACAGTGCAGTGGGATGATGGAGATTAATGCTCACCACGTACCGAAGGGGAGTTGAGAGAGGATGTCTGTGGGGTGGCCAAGAGTGCTCGAGAGAGGGGCAGCAGCCTGGTTTTCCAGATAGGAGAGTAGAGATGCAGAAGGCTGAATGAGACAAATGAATGGGAAACATGGCTTTTGGACAGACATCCTTAAATGGTAGGAGCCAGAAGGAGGAAGCCCTCTCCTGGGTGGGACAAAGTAGAAACAGAGAACGTTGTTCAAGGAAAATGTCATTTTCATCATATCCTTCCCCCGCTCTGAAACTATCTAAGGTTCCCCCTTGTCTACAGGATATAGTCCAGACTTAGCCTGTCATCCAACGCTCTCCAGAATCTCTCTAACCTTTGGCCTCAGCCTTACCTTTCACTACTCCCTTAAACACTCCTCCTACTTCTGTCTGTTAGTGTAGACTCTGAGCCCATCACACACCCAGCCTGTTGCTTCCTCTCTCTGTTTTACCCTCACTGGAAATATCTTTGCTCATCACCTATTTAAATCCTTCAGGTTCCATTAGAAAAGCTTTCTCAGTAAGTGGGCCTGAATTTGGAACTATGCCCAAAGGGCTATAAAACTGCATACGCTTTGATCCAGCAATACCACTGCTAGGTCTATATCCCAAAGATATCCAAAAAAGGGAAAATAGCAGCTCTTTTTGCAGTAACTAAGAACTGTAAATCAAAGGGATGCCCATCAATTGGGGAATGACTAAACAAGCTGTGGTATATGATTTTAATGGAATATTATTGTGCTATAAGAAATGACAAGCAGGATGATTTCAGAAAGATCTGAGAAGACTTACAGGAACTGATGCAAAGTGAAGTGAGCAGAACCAAGAGAATGTTGTATTCAGTGATAGCAATATTATACAATGAAAAACTGTGAATGACTTAGCTATTCTCAGTAATACAATGATCCAAGACAATCCCAAAGGACTAATGGTGAAGCATACTATCCACCTCCAGAGAAAGAGTTGATATTGATTGAATACAGACTGAAACATGCTTTTTTTCACTTTCTTTCTTTCATTTTTTTCTTTTATTCAAGTCTTCTTGTACAAAGTGACTAATATGGAAATGTTCTACGTAATTGCACACATATGACCTATATCTGATTGCTTACCATCTCAGGGAAGGGGGAGGGGAAGGAGGGAGGAAAGGATAGAATTTGGAACTCAAAACTATGTAAAAATATTTAAAAATTGGAAAAAAAAAGAAATAACTACATCAAGTTATTAAACTTTGCTGTTAAGTGAGTGTAAAAATAAAAAAGAAAATTATGTATACACTTAAATGTTGAGCTTCTACATAAGTTCTGCATTCACTTTTTAAACAATAAAAGGAAGTGGAGGGTATGAAAAAAAAATGTAAGTGGGCCTGTAGGAATCTGGAGTCATAAGAATTGGGTTTGAATCCTGTGAAGGGATTGGGTGAGATGATTCTCTAGGGTATTTTCCAACTTTACATCCTGTGATCTAAGGAACGCTTCCTATGGAACTCAAAACCCTGACTTCTTTGGACAATTGAGCTTACACCATCTTGTGACATCCTCTTGTTTTATATTGTTTAAAATTCCATGTATTAGTTATCTTTGCCAGCGAAGCCATTGTTTCCAGGACATAATCAGTGACCAAGTCCTGGCAGCTTTATTTACCTTTCTAGTGTCTCCTGTAGCCATCCACTACTTTCAACCTCTCCATCATCACCCTTGCTCAGGCCCTCGTTACCTTCTGCCTACCCATGTGTGTGTGTGTGTGTGTGGTGGTGGTAATAGAGTTAGAGAGTCATATTTTTTAGTGTTGGAAGCAATCTTAGAGATCTTATGGTCCAACCTTCTCATTTTACAGATTGGGAAACTGAGTCTCAGAGAAGGGAGATAACAGCCATGGTGACATAACTCAGTAGTGTCAGAGCCAGGACTACAACTCCAACACCTAATTCAATTCTTTCCACTCTACCATGGCTGCCTATGGTCTCTCTCCACCCTCCCCTCCCCTTTCCCCGGAACAATCCATCCTGCAGATTAATCTTTCCAAGGCCTAACTCTGATCATTATATCCCCTTGCTCAAAAGCTGTCAGTGTCTCCCCCTTGCTTAAAGAACAAAGCCCAAACTCTTAGTCTGGCATTCAAGGCTCTCCACAGTCTGACCTTGGCCTCATCTCACAATATTCCACATAATCTAAAATCCCCACCCTTTCCCAGTTTTGTGCATTTTCTCACGTCGAAGTCAGGATAGCGTAGTGGAAAGAATACTGGATTAGGAGTCCAGTTGGAGTTTCGGTTCTGATAGCTATGATTTACCATGGGTAAGTCACTTCCTCTCTCTGACAGTCTCTTAATCTGTAAAATGGGCATCACTGTCCTTGTAGTTTCTCACAGGGTTGATGTTCCTCATCCAAGAAAAGAGGAAACAGAGGAAAAGGGAACAAAGTTTAGGGAATATTTGGGGACCGGGCTGTTGACATTTTCTGTAAGGCAGAAGGTTAATGTGATTGGAAGAGCACTGATAAGCAGTCAGTACCACCATTTAATAGGCATGTGACCTGGGCACATCACTTCCCCTTGGATTTGCCATTTATGAAATGGGAATAATGATGTTGGTACTAAGGTTCTCACAGTGGTATAGTGGGGATTGGATGAGCTAATGGACATGAAAATACTTCGTAAACCATAAAGTAATGTATACGGTCAGTCAGTTGGCATTTATTAGGTACCGACTTTTGCTAAATGCTAAATACATGTCAGGAATTATTACTACTCTTAATAATAATCCCAGCTCTGCCCCAGATTCACTGCGTCAATCTGGGTAAGTCACAGCCTCCCTCTGGAACTGAATGAACACCTGTAAAATGCAGAGGTTGAACTGTATAATCACTAAGGTCATTGCCAGCTCTGACAGCTGTCATCCTATATTATCTTGGCTCTGATAGTCTTCACTTCTAAGCCCGGGCAGGAAGGGTTGTTCCCCTGGCCTGACAGGAGAGGAGTGAGAAAGTGAACTACCCATGTTTGATGGACACTGCACCTCCTGACTCCAGGCATTTTCATTGGCTGTCCCCTATGCCTGGAATGCTCCCCCCTCATCATCTTCACCTTCTGGCTCCCTTCAAGTCTCAGCTAAAATTTCACCTTTTTCAAGAAGCCTTTCATAATCCCCTTAAATGTTAGTGCCTTCCCTCTGTGATTATCTGCAATTTACCTTGTCTACCTCTTGTTTGTACATAATTGTGTTTGCCTGTTCTCTCCCCCATTAGACTGGCCTTTGCCTTTCTTTGTATCCGCAGTGCTTCTTATAATAGTAGATTCTTAATAAATGCTTGTTGGCTTGACTCACAATGTTTCTATGTGCTTCCCATGTTCTTAGGGCTTTGCAATTTATAAAGCCTATGTACTGTCTCACTGAATCCAGAGGGCCAGTGTTTGAATCCTACCCCTGCTACTTAACTAACTAGCTTGTGGCACATCTCTCTGGGCCTTAGTTTCCTCATCTGTAAAATGTGAGGATTGGAGGTGACATCTAAGGTGCCTTGCAATTCTAAATTAATGTTCCCATAAGGCCCATCCCCAGTGACTATAGATAATTGGAAGATTTTTTTTTGCAAAGTTAAACTAGTGAGATAAAAAAATGTGATGGGGGTCAGACCCACAATTTGAAGCCCAGACATCCGATATAGGTCACTGCACCTATGGGATCCAGAGACCTGGTCAGGCAGAGCCTGGGAGATTGGGAGGAGGGAAAGGAGGTAGGTGGGCAGATTTCATCTCATCTGTCTCTGGCTCTGCAACTGGCTCATCTGAGAACTGGCCTGCCAAGAGCCAGATGGGCACTTTAAGTTGGGGGAATTTCAGGAAACAAGTGAGAACCTGCAGAATAATTTTGTTGGTCTTCCACCGTTTGAGAAAAGAGACTGGAAAATGATTCTCCATAGTTCTCTCCTCTTCAATAATGTCTGAGGTTTTTGCTGCCATAGATCCTTTCTACTCCAAACCTCAGATGTGTGTTCTCTAGGTCTCCTCCTATTTGGGGAATTATTTCAAGGTAATTTCAGAGTTAGCTGTGTCATGATTCTGAGTCATAATCTGTTTCTGCCCTGGACTCATAGAACGGGCTGTGGAGGAGCCACTAGTACAGTTCCTACCTAAAGCAGGAATCCATATTATAACATCTCTGACAGGTGGACATCCATCCTCTTGAACACTTCTGGTAACAGGAAGCTCATCACCTCATGAGTCAGCTCCTGCTGCTTTTTCGTCAGCACTCATTGTTAGAAAGGTTTTCCCCCCACATCAAACCAAGATTTGTCTCCCTTCCTCTCCTCTCTTCAACTTTGATCCTAGCTCTGCGCTCCAGGGTCAGGCAGAATGAATTGAAAATTCCTCTTCCCCATGACAGCCTTTCAGACATTTGATCGTAGTATGTCCCCCACTTTCAATCTCCTATCTATCTAGTGAAACCCATCAAAAGCAGTTGCAAATGATTGACACAAATCCTCAAACTTGTACCATCCAGACTCAGCAGCACTGGGTGGTGAGAGAGTAGGTAGATTCTCTCACTTCTGTCTGGTACTTTATAGTTTACAGAGCTCTTTTCCATCTACTCTCTCAGTTGAGCCTCCAACAGGCCTGTGAGTCAAGGAGGCAGCCCGGGATCATCCCCATTTTACAGGTGAAGAAACCAAGACTCAGACTAAATGATCCCACAGGTCCAGGGGCAACACAGCAATTGAGCGGCCAAGCCAGGACCATAATTGAGGTAGGTTAATTTAAGTATATTTTCTTTTACATTGTACCCAGCTGTGAGCTGGTGATGTTTAGCCTGGAGAAGATAACTCAGTCGGGCATGGTAGCTGTCTTTGAGTATTTGTAAGACTGCCACGAGGAACTGGTGTCAGCTTTATTCTGCTTAGCCCCAGGGTAGAAGGTTTGGAGAAGTGGCTTCCAGGGGTGGGGAACTTGCGGCCTCGAGGGCACGTGTGGCCCTCTAGATCCTCAAATGAGGCCCTTTGAAACTTGAAGTTTGGATTCAGTCAAAGGGCCGCACTTGAGGACCTAGAGGGCCACATGTGGCCTCGAGGCTGCGGGTTTCCCACCCTTGTGACTCTATATAGGGAAAGTCTTGTGCATAATTAGAGATTTCAAAAAGCAGAATGGGCCCCGGTGGGAATGAGTTCCCTAACACTAAGGGTCCTTAGCCAGAAGCTGGATGACCACTCACCTGGGATATGGTTGCCAGGATTTCAGTTCAGGTAAGGATTCTGCCTAGGTCCAGGTCTGAGGTTCTATGATTCTGCCATCTCACTCTGCCGCTGGAGGCTGTAGGGTTGAGGCTTCTAAACAGAGTTGCCAAATATTGGTCCCTTCCCCCCTCAGTTAAGGAATCATCTAACACATTCATTTACAGGAACACGTACAGAAAGCAGTCGACCAAGTACCGAGTCCTTGCTGTCAGGGAACTCAATCTTTAGCAGCTGTTGCCTCAGTCTGTGTGGGGGGAAGGAGTCATTTCTCTACCTCAGAGATGAGGAAGCTAGGATATCCCAAGGGGTTAGGGCTTGTCTAGCCATCACAGGGTGATGATCACGTCATGGGTGTGAGCCCCGGGGAAAGAAAGGATCAGGATCCTGCCGCTGATCCCTTCTACATCATGGCAAGAACCTTAGGCAAGTTATGACCTTGGACAACTCACTTTCCCTCTCTAGGCCTCAGTTTCTTCACCTGCAAAATGGAGCTAGTCATATTTACAATACCCTCTCCCCCCACTTCCCCTATATAGAGTTGCCAGGTAGAATGTGTTTTATAAATCCTAAAGCATCAAATGCATGTTAACCATTATAAATTATTACTCATATCACCAACCAGGGCTGGGAGCACATTAGTCATATCACCAACCAAGGCTGGCCACTGCCCTCTGCTCCCATTTATCTGGGCATGTTGTCTGTAGGTAACATACCGTGTATGAGCCCCAGCAGGTCCAGGTAACTGAGCCAGGTTTATAGAATTTAGAACTAGGGAAAGCTGATACAGAGTGAAGTAAGCTGAACTGGGAGAACCATTTATATAGTAATAACAACATTGAAAAGATAAAAAACTTTGAACTCTGTTCAGTACAGTAACTCAGAGGAGTCAGTCATGAAGTGTCACATAACATTCCCAAGTACAACAGGCAGTCCTGAACCAGATGAAAATGTAATTGGGAAGTAGATAACAAAATAATAAAAAAACAGTAAAACATAATTATTAATATGTGGTTTTCAAGTCAAAATATGGCCCACAGGGATCCTTCCGTTTTGTTTAATGGTCCCCATTTCTATTTGCTTTTGAGGCCAATGCAGTAACCAGCCATGACTCCAGATGTCAGGTGATGAAACCAGCTCCCCACCTCTGATACAGAGGTGATGGATTTGAGATGCAGAATGAGACACACATTTCTGGGCATGGTCAGTGGGGGAATTTGTTTTGCTTGACCATGCTTATTTGTTACAAGGGTTTTGATTTTCTATTTTTTTTTCAATGTGTGGGTAGGTGGGGGGAAGAGGGAGAAAAAAATGCTTGTTAATTGTAAAAAATTTTAATGGGAACAAAAAAGAACTGGAGGAGAATTTCAAGATCAAACTTAATTTTCTTGATAGGGGAAACTGAGACCCAGAGACAGCCTGGAGAAGATAACTTGGGAGTCAGGAAGACCATTTTTCAAATCCCACCTGTGACACTTACCAACTCTGTGACCTTGGGCAATTCATTGTACCTCTCTGCCCCTAAACAGCTCTCTAAGCCTATAAATTTCAGGTGAGTTGCTGACCTGCAGTGGTAGGAGTTTTCACACCGGAACTACACTTTTGTGATAAAATCACAAATTTAAAAAAACTAAAAATGTCCAATTGCTGTTATGATTATTCCCTAATCAGTCCTGGTGCCCCTCTCTCCACTAACACAGCCTGGAACATTTTTAACAAGTCCATAATGCAGTTTTCCCATCCCTTCAAAGCTGTGGGGTACCTGCTGTTAAGAAGACGACAGCAAGGACTCGGTACTTGGTCAACTGCTTTCTGTATGTGTTCCTGTAAATGAAGGTGTTAGATGATTCCTTAACTGAGGGGGGAAGGGACCAATATTTGGTAACTCTATTTAGAAGCCTCAACCCTAGGGCCTCCAGCAGAAGAGTGAGATGGCAGAATCATAGAACCTCAGACCTGGACCTAGGCAGAATCCTTACCTGAATTGAAATCCTGGCAACAATATCCCCGGTGAGTGGTCATCCAGCTTCTGGCTAAGGACCCTTAGTGTCTCTGTCTGAAAATGATTTGCTCAACGTCACATAGGCTGTGAATAGCCCAGGTCCTCTGACTCCATCCAAATCTAGCCTTCTTTTCTACTGCGCCTTGCCTCCTCTGAAATAGAGACAAGGTTGTTTTACATCAGCTGGGCACCAGCTCTCAAAGAAGGGTGAGCTGCTGGTCAGAACCCAGAGAGACAAAAATAACTGGAAGCAAAGAGAGGGATTCAGAGAGACACAGTTAGAAAGCAAGGCTATCAGTAGTACCGGATGGGGGAGAACAAAGCCACAAGGCAGCAGCAGGTACCCCACAGCTTTGAAGGGATGGGAAAACTGCATTATGGACTTGTTAAAAATGTTCCAGGCTGTGTTAGTGGAGAGAGGGGCACCAGGACTGATTAGGGAATAATCATAACAGCAATTGGACATTTTTAGTTTTTTTAAATTTGTGATTTTATCAGTGTAGTTCTGGTGTGAAAACTCCTACCACTGCAGGTCAGTAACTCACCTGAAATTTATAGGCTTAGAGATCTGTTTAGGGGCAGAGAGGTACAATGAATTGCCCAAGGTCACAGAGTTGGTAAGTGTCACAGGTGGGATTTGAAAAATGGTCTTCCTGACTCCCAAGTCCAGCATTGTTTTGGTTTTTTTTTTTGGGGGGGGGGGAGGATATACTATGAATGTGAAGAAATGGTTTCCTAAGATTCAAACTTCTTTACCTGGGAGTCAAGGCCCTCTGCAGTCTGGCACCAGCACACCTTCCTGCTTTATCTTCTGTTTGTCCCCTCAGGTACCTCATGCTGTAGCCAAACTGGATGCCTTCCTGGTCACCTCCCAACCCTTTCCTCTGCCTGGCAGGGCCTTCCTTCTCTACCTGCTGAATCATTCCTTAGCCTTAAAAGCCCATCTCGAATGCCACTTCTTCCCTGAGGCTTTTCCCCTGCTCCCTCTGGTCTATAACAGCCTTCTCCTTCAGACCTCACATGGCCCTTTGTTGCCTTGTAATTCTTTAACACCCGTGTCTGGCAGCGTTCTGTATCCTAGTTATTTGTGTTCGTGTTTTATCCTCTTAATAGAATACAAGCTGCTTTGGGGCTGGGTTAATCTTTGTGTCTCTCCCAGCATTTAACATAGTTCTGGACACACTGGTGGTACTTTGTAAATGTTTGTGGCAACAACCACTGACAAAAAAGGGGTGGCATCAGGTGACCAAACGACAGGAGCCTTCTTGATTGACTCGAGGTATCCAGGGGGCTTCATTATTGGCTGACAGTTGGCTATCAAACAAATAAATGAACTCCATCCAGAGCACCTTGCTGTGGTTATGCCCAATCTCCTGGTAGAGGTAGATCAGTCAATTTTTGGGTCAAGGCCAGGGTGGAGTGAAGGATTATGTCTGAGGACAAGGCTATGTGAGCTGCCATGTGAGCCTGGAGAATTCTGGGAGGGTTAAAAACCTGGCCCAGGGTTTTTTTTTATTATTATTATTAATCTAGTAAGCTTGAAAGGAAGCTACCCAGTCAGTGGGGGGGGACTTCTTTTAAAAAAAAAAAGTTTTATTGTTGCTTTTTGCTTTTTAGACCAGAGTCTTTACCTTTCTTCCTTCCCCACAGAACTCCTCCTCCTCCTCCTTCTTCTTTTTCTTCTTCTTCTTTTTTTTTTTTTGGTGAGGCATAGGGGTTAAGTGACTTGCCCATGGTCACATAGCTACTTAGTGTCAAGTGTCTGAGGCCAGATTTGTGAACCCTTCTTTAAAACCAAAACAGAAAAACGTAAGCTAAGCCAGCCAAACAGCGACCACATTCCACCTCTGTAGCCTCCACCTTTTTACCGAGAAGAGGAGGCTAGGTTTCTTTGTCAGCTCTAGGACCATGACCGTTCATTATAATTGTTCATCAGAATTTGACGGCTTTTTAGTGTTATAATTTGCGTTATCGTAAGTATCATATAAATTGTTCTCTTGGTTCTGCTTTCCTCACTGCATCACTTCGTACATTCTTCCCGTGGTTCTCTAAATTCTCCATTTTCATGGTTTCTTACAGTACAGGAATATTCTATTACATTCATATACTATAATTTGTTTCAATTTTCCCCACTTCATGGGTGCCCATTTTATTTCCAGGTTTTGGTGTTTTTGGTTTTTTTTTTCCCCTAGTTGAGTATACACACCTTCCTTATCTTTCTTTGGATGAGCTCTCCCCCCAAGGTATAATTTCTGAAATTCTATTTTTCCTTTTATGAGTTGTAAATAAAGATCCTCACTTAACCTCAACATATCTCACCTGTGGTGCGAGATGGAGGTGACATGTTGGAAGCCATGGGCATCTGATGGTGATGGCATTTGCACATAGAGATCCTTGGCTCGTAGAAAGTTGAATTCGGGGCATCAGATAGTAGGGTTCCTCCTAGGAGAGGGAGCAGGTTTGGGAACTCAGAGTCATATGGAAGTTCCTGGCTGCAAGCTGGTGTTAAATATAGTGGAAAGAACACTGGACTTGGAGTCAGGGGATCTGGATTCACATCGTAACTTCAGCCTGCTACCTGTTTGACAATGGACAAGACCTTTGTCCACTTTCTACCTATTTTTGTTTTTTAAACAAAGGAGTTAGACCAAATGATCTCTAAGGTCCCTCCCAGCTTTGACTGTCTATATCCTAAGGGCCCTTCCAGCTCTGATATTCCATCTTCCAAGGTTTTTTCCATCTCTTGACATTATATTCTATGTTCTAAAATCTCTCTCAGCTCTGACATTCTTTGTTCTGTGTTCCAGAGTCCCTTATAGCTCTGATATTCTGTATGTAACTCTTAATACTAAGAGAATATATGATATAAATATTTTTTGGCCTCTCCTTTCTTCTGCAGTTTGGACCATGGGGAGTAGCAAAAGCAAACCCAAAGACCCCAGTCAACGACGCAGAAGCCTGGAACCCTCCGAGAGCGTCCTCCACAGTGGCTTCCCTGCCTCTCAGACTCCCAGCAAAGTGTCTGTGCCTGATGCCCACCGCACTCCCAACCCCCAGTTTGGCTCAGCACCTGAGTCAAAGCTTTTTGGGGGCCTCAACATGTCAGACACAGTCACCTCCCCTCAGCGTTCGGGGCCTTTGGCAGGTGAGAAGCTTACGTTTGGGTGCCTTTGGTCCTGGATTCCCTTGGGATTTAGGACTCTTAAGTTGAATCACCCAAAACTTGGTCATGGACTCATTGTCTCCCCTGAGAGTTTCTCTCATCTGGTCAGCTCCAGAAAAGGGGCCAAGAAAAGCCTTGTTGAAACTGAGAGGAAACAGTGAGTGAGAACTGGCTTTATGTGGAAGCACAATGATTTGAGAGATTTTAAGCCAGAGGACCTGGGATGGAGCCTTTGCCCTGCTTCGGTGTGACTCTAATCAAGTCATGCACATTCTCAGGACAGTGGTGTCCTCTTTGGTCAAAGGAGGGGGTGGGCTAGCTGGTCTCTAGGGTCCTTTCTGGCACTAATAATAATAACCAGCATTCATATATCATTTTAAGTGCTCCATAAATATTATATAATTTTATTCTCATAGCCCTGGAAGATAAGTGCTAGTATTATCTCCAGTTTGCAGGTGAGGAAACTGAGGCAGAAAGAGGTTAAGTGACTTGCTCAGGGTCACATGGCTAGGAAGTATCTGAGGCCAGATTTGAACTGAGGTCTTTTTGATTCCAGGCTTAGCACTCTATCCACTGCACCATCTTTTTTGTTGTTGTTCATTCATTGCAGTCACGTCCAACTCTTCATGACCCCATTTGGGGTTTTCTTGGCAAAGATACTGGACTGGTTTGCCATTTTCTTCTCCAGCTCATTTTTTCAGATGAGGAAACTGAGGCAAACGGGGTTAAGTGACTTGCCCAGGGTAACACAGCTAGTAAATGTCTGAGGCCAGATTTGAACTCAGGTCTTTCTGACTCCAGTTCCTGTACTCTATTTACTTTGCCACCTAGCCTTCCCACTCTGCCTTCTAAATCTTATGATTGCATGAGAAGAGCTGGGAAGAGTCCTTTGCCCTCATCTGTCTCCACAACCGTAATAGTGCATGAAATTCTGCCATTAGAAATTTCTTTCTTTGGATTTAGAATGTGTATCCTCATTGACTCCCCTATTTAAATGCAGCTGTCCTTGAGAGGGGGAGTAGTTGAAAGGAAACATTAGGGAGTGGCACATGGAATATGTTCCTGGGGAGATGGGGAGGGAAGGATAGAAGGCAGCAAGGTGAGAAAGTTTCCTATTGGGGTCCCTTTGCTGCCTCAGTCATGATTTTGCCTAAAACCAGTCTTGGGATCAAGGGATAGGAGCTATAAGTTATGGACCTTTGCCTCTTCCTGTCTCTCAGACCCTCTGGATGGTTCCTTCCTTAGGTCTTTTTGGGTACCCTGCCCCATCCGAAGGAGGAAAGGATGACAGCTCCCAGATTTCCATAGCCACCCTGGATCATGGTCTGTCTGCCAGTATTGATCCTGAGGCTGGTTTTAGGCAAAATCATGACTGAGGTAGCCTGTATGGATCAGGGTCAGAATTTAAACCTGGGTCTCCTGTCTCTAAGCACAGAACACTTTGCAATACCCCATGCTGCTTTTACAATCACTGGAGGATCCATGTGGTGTAGTGGAAGGAAGGATGTGGAGGCCAGAGATTTTGATTGGAGTCCCAGCTCTAACACTTAATAGCCATGAGAACCTGGGCAAGTCAGTTTATTTCTCTAAGGTTCAGTTTATTTGTTTTTGTTCTTTTGAAACATTTAGAAAAGAAGTCTGGAGCAGTGTATAGAAAACTGGCCTCAAAGTTTGGAAGATCTGGTTCAAATCCTGCCTCTGAAACCTATTGGCTGTGTGACCACTTAACCTCTCAGTGTCCCCAAAGGGGGTAGCTAAGTGGCACAGTGGATAGAGCTCTAGGCCTGGAGTCAGGAAGACCTGAGTTCAAATTTGGCCCCAGACACTTAGTAGCTGGGTGACCCTGGGCAAGTCACTTAACCCTGTTTGCCTCAGTTTCCTCATCTGTAAAATGAGCTGGAGAAGAAAATGGCAAACCACTCCGGTATCTTTGCCAAGAAAACCCCAAATGGGGTCGTGAAGAGTTGGACAGGATTGAACAAGAAGAACAACAAAGCCCCCAAGGGACTCTCTAAGACTTTCATGTGAGAACAAGTATTGATCTACATTGGTAAAAAGAGTTTACGCTCAGGAAGCTCCCTATACCAATGAAATCAGATGCCTGAACCAAAAAAAATAAATAAATTTAGTGAAATAATAAGTCATAAAACCCTGTTTCTTTGTGTCCCCCCCCTTTTTTTTTAAGGCAATTGGGGTTAAGTGACTTGCCCAGGGTCACACAGCTAGTAAGTGTCAAGTGGTTGATCTGAGGCTGGATTTGAACTCAGGTCCTCCTGACTTCAGTGCTGGTGCTCTATCCACTGCACCACCTAGCTGCCCCTGTGTCCCCTTTTGATTCCTGTATTATTTTTTTCAGATTAGTTACTATTATCTTTTCTGTATGCACGGTTCATGTATATATTGTTTTGACTCTGCTTTCTTTGCTTTTTATCACTTTGTAGTCTTCATTTTTGTCATTTTTAGGGGAGCCTGTTTCCTTTTCTGTAAAACGTAAAATCTCATTTTCACTACCTGCCTCCCAGGGTCATTTTGAGGAAAGCGCTTGGCATACTTTAAGGTAGCATAGAAATGGGAGCTCTTCTCCTTGGCAGAGCCTCTGCCCTTGGCCTTGATCCTCTTGTTTAGACTTTGAAAGGTTGTTTTGGTCTCTTTTGAACAGCCTCTTTCTGTGCCATATTGAGACTAGACTGGCCTTGGTTTGGGGCTCTGGTACCAGGAAGAGGTTCCTAGCTGGTGCTGCCTGAAAGGACGGCCCCTGACCCCAGCCTGAGATAGGAGTGGCTGCGTCCACTTAACCTGCAGCCCTTGACAGCCTTTCTGTTGTCTCTGCGGCAGGTGGGGTGACCACTTTCGTGGCCCTATATGACTACGAATCCCGCACTGAGACAGACCTGTCTTTCAAGAAAGGGGAACGCCTGCAGATAGTCAACAACACGTGAGTGTCTCCTCTTACTCCCCTCCAGCTGCTCTGAGTGCCCCAGGGAGGGGAGGTTCAGGGTCCACCTGGAATCCCCCATGTCAGGAAGTAGCCCCAGTGAATCCAAGCTTAGCCCTTGTTTCTCTTTCCTCTGGGGCTCTACACCTGATTGTTATGTGGGGAGGGGATTTTTTTTTTGTCTAGGTTGGGATTTTAGGGCATCAGAAACTTTGGGTGTGGCTTGTTCATGGGTTGCCTCAGTTTCCTCATCTGTAAAATGAGCTGGAGAAGGAAATGGCAAACCGCTTTAGGATCTTTGCTGAGAAAACCCCAGATGCTCAGGCTGTTGCCCTAGACCACTCTGGACTTGGTTCCCATGTGCCCTAACGAGGAGGTATAGCTGATGAAGGACCCTGGAGAATCCGGGGTTGGCATGGGAAGCATGGATGTCAGTGATCTAGCATTGTCTCAGCCTTGGTGAAAGGGGTGGCCCCTGTCGAAGAGGTCAGGCCTAATTGGGACTGCAGACTGAGCTAGGGCGTAGGTACAGGAGCCACAGAGGGCAGAGGAGGGAGGTGACAGGGCCCAGGCCCAGGCCCAGGCTCAGGGAAAGGTTATTTTCTAACCATCTTTAATGTGATTCCTCTCTATTTCCCGATCTCTCCCCTACGTGGAAAAGGAGCTTTGAAGCTGTGCTTGCCCTGGCTAGATATACTCCTTCCTAGGAGCTGGTTCTGGCCAACGAGAAGCCTCTGGTATTCAACAACATGATTCTCTGAAGTTGCCCTGACTATGCCCACTCACCTGGGATGGAGGGCCCAAATGTCTCAGCCCAGAGTGAGGAGGGCTTGGCGCCAAAGGGCCACTAGAAAATCCAGTCCCTGAGCCTGAAGAAAGGGTCCTGGGCGGGCTGAGGAAGGGAATTGGACTTTGAGCCTTAGCCGGGCAGACTTAAGGGGACCTTGCTTCCTGGGAGCCATCCTCTGCTCTAAGTGACCCACTTTGCTTCCCAACAGCTTCTAACCCTCCACAGTGCTGATCTCAAGCCCTTTCTGTCTCTTTCTCCTCTCCTTTGCTACATGCTTGCGCTTAGGAGAAAAGTGGATGTCAGGTGTGTACCTTGCTCTTTTCTCATCTCGGTTGGGGGTGGCCAGCTGGCCTGTGGGGGAGGCAATTGGTGCTTCTGCTAGTGGCGTTTGATGCTTTGGGGCGGCCCCTGCTGGAGCCCAACTGTTCTTGTGTTTGCATGTGCTTATCTTGCTACATCCAGTTCTGGCTTTCCTTCATCCAGAGCAACTAACTCCCTCCTATTTTTTTTTTTTGCCTGGGCTTGCCCAACTGTCTCTTTATCTTCTCATCCTTTCTCTTCTTCCTTTATCTCCTTTTTCTCCTCTCCCATCCACTGTGACTCAAGCTGCTTGCATGCATTCTCAGTATAAGTGTCAGCCAGCCCTGGGTAGGAGAGTACCAGGGGGGCAGTGACTGCCACATTTCCTTGTATAAACCTATCCCAGCTCTTTAGTCTGTGAATTCTAGATTTTGCAAGTGGCCTAGTCTGTGAGCTTCATTTCACTTCAGCTCCCAGGTGCTACCCAGGGCCTAGCTGAGATGGAAGCCTAGTGACATCCATCCATCGATCCATGCATCCATCCATGCATCCATGCATCCTTCTATCCATCCATCCATCCCTTATTAAACCTTTGCTTATCACCTACTATATGAAAGGCTCTGTAGATACTAAGATGAATAAGGCACAGTCCTTTCCCCCAAGGACCTTACAATCTATTTGAGGAGAGGGGGCGCATGTGCACGTATGTGCGTGCACACAAAAAATTAAGCAATGACAACAGGCAGTCTTCTAATTTCTGAGTGAAAGCCAATTTAGAAGCAAGGATGGTCAGGTGAAGTCTCCAGAGGAGGTGGGATTTCATCTGGTTCTTAGAAGGTGGTCAGAATTCCAAGGTTTTAAAGAGGTGGGGAGTTATTCTAAGCCTAGGAAAACAGTAGGACTGAGGACATAAAGGTGAGAATGTGTAAGAAATGTTTAAAGGGCATTTTGGAGATGGACCTGGTGGGATAGAAGGTTTTTGTAGGGAAGTAGTGGGGGGGTGAGGCTGGAGAAGTAGTCTGGGGGCTAGATTTTGGAGGACCAGAGGCCAGATTCGGTAATGGTTTGGGTTTTATCGTACAGATAATAGGGAGTCATAAAAGGTTTGGAGAGGGGAGGGACATGATCAAAGTTAAGGAAGATGACTGACAGCATATAGAGTCTCCATAATACTTTGAGCTAGAAAGGATCTGAGAGTTCATCTAATCTAACCTCATATTAAAGAGGAGGAAACTGTGGCCTAGAAAAATGAAGTGGCTTTCTCAAGGTCACTAGGTAGTAAAGTAATAAGTGGCAGAGGCATGATTTGGATCCAAGTTCACTGACTCCAAAACCATTTCTCTTTCCTGCATGTAGGCCTGAGGACAGAGTGTGCAGGTGGGTCATGACTCTAGTCCAACCGATGAAATTGAGAAGGTCCTGTAATGCTGGAGGGAGGAGGCAGAGACCAACTGGCAACAGTTAGACCTCCTTATCCCCCCTTGGAATGCTAGAGGCAGAAAGGAAAGAAGGAGAAGGGAAGAAGAAAGAAAGGAGGGAAGGAAGGGAGGAAGGAAGGAAGGGAGGAAGGAAGGAAGGAAGGAAGAAAGAAGGGGAAGGAGGGAGAAAGGAAGGAAGGAAAAAGAGAAGGGAAGGAGGAAGGAAAAAAAGGAAGGAAGGATTGGAGGGAGGGGGAAAGAAAGAAAAGAAAGGGAGGGAAGAAGGAAGGAAGAAGGGAAGGAACGCTAGAATAGTGTACTAAATCTAATGTGATAAAGTTTAATAGGAATAAATGTCAAGTTCTGCATGTTAATCAACTGTACGAGCACTGGATGGGGTAAGCACGATTAGATAATGATTTCTGTGAAAAATATTTGATGGTTTTGGGTGACTGCAGGCTCAGCATGAGCTAGCAACATGGTGGTCAAGATACTGAGGCTGTATTAATATATATATATATAGGGAGAGAGAGAGAGAGATAGGTTTACATATCTCTGTATCTATCTAGATACATCTATCTACAAATAGATCTCTCTCTCTCTCTCTTACTCTCTCACTTTCTCTCGCTTTCTCGCTGTCTTGCTCTCTCAGCCAGAACAAGGGAGATGAGAGGGTCTAAGCAGGATAGGCCCCAGGGGCACTCTCTGGAGTGATGGGTTCTAAGCACCTCCCTCTAGGAATGACGTTGACCAGCTGGAGTGTGTACTGAGGCTGGAAGAGGGGGTAGCCAGGAGACTGGAGAACATGACTTGTGAGGATCAGTGAAAAGAACCAGGGATACTCACTCTAGAGAAGAGAAGACTGAGGAAGGACCTGAGAGCTGTTTTCAGGTATTTGAAAGACCATCATATGGAAGAGGGATTCAACTTTTTTCTGCTTGGGCCCCGGTGGCTGAAGTAGGAACAAGAGGAAGATTCAGGGAGGTAGATTTTCACTTGATTAGAAGGAAAAAATTCTGAACCATCATAGATGTCCAGAAGTAGAATAGACTGCTTTGAGAAGTAGTGACTCCCCCATTTCAGGAACTCTTTGGGCAGAAACTAGATGACTACTTGTTGGGAATGTTCTAGAGAGGATTTCTGCTTAGGAACACATTGGATGAGAAACCTTCTGAGATTGCTTCTGGCTCTACGGTTCTGTGATTCTAATGGCACCTCAGCCTTCAATTCTTCCTGGCCATATCCTCCCTCAGTAGTGATCTCCATGGTTTTTCCCAAGGACATTTCTGTGTAGCCCATATCCACTCCTACCCCCAACATTCCCCTGCTTTGACTCCTATGTGGCTTCAGACTCCGGGCCACTTTAAGTCATCCTCACAGAAGCTCTAGCTGATCACAAAAGACAGGCTTCTTGGAATTCACAAGACAGTGGGGAGCTTGCCACTTTTCCCACCCTTGCTGTTTGTGATTCCCAACTTTGGTTACGGTCACTTTTAGCCAGTTTCAAAGCTGCCTCTATTCTTTCCTCTATCTCTCTACCTCTATCTCTCTTTCTCCATCTCACCTCTACTCCTCCTCAGCCTTCCTTGCAGCTGTTGTCAAAGTTTTGCAGGCCCAGGTTGCTAATGGAAAATATAAAGTGACTGAATACAAGGAAAATACAATAGAGTCCTGTGGAACCAACTTTGCCTCAGGCATCCCATTGGGTGAGAGGCGCTGAGTGTCTAGATGGGGATGCTCCATGACCCAGTTGTTGAACTGGGCTTTGAGTTTTACAGAACTCAAGTCCCTAGGATATAATCAGCCCTGGCTTAGTAGATAAAAGTTGGTTATGCAGGTAGGCACTGGAGCCTGTATTATAAAATCCAAATCCTCCTTTCTTCAATGGCAAGGAGAACTGTTAAAGAAATAAGAGATATAGGGAACCATAAAAAAAAACCATATGTCTCTCAAGACATAACAGGATATTAGAGTTACAGGTTACCCTCAACATGAACATAGACTAGACAGTCACCTGTGTGGTACTCAAAAGCTTCTCCTGTCCCCAAATATTTCCCCCACCTATAGGTCCCAGTGTCTAAAAGTCTAACACTAATGGAATTTGCATCAATTACTTTAGGCTAAGTATTGTCCCTTGTAAAATCCTTTCTCAAAAAGTCAGATTTCCTTTGGGAAGAGCAGCACATTCAAGGCCCTGAGCCCTTCTCTGGGTAAGCATCAGAACTATTATTAGCAATTTGAGTATTGAGGGCAAATAACACAAGACACACCCTCACATAAAATTTGTAATCCACCATATTAAAAAAAAGTATATATAAATGTAAAAGGTAATTAAAACAAATTCAGTTGGGTAGGAGGAGGAATTAGTTACTACAGTGGTTTGTATTCTGCGGAAAGAATGCATATATTAAGTTTTTGCTCCTTCTTAATTTTGGTGTCCTGGGGCAAAATTCCAGTCTTACCACCTTAGTTATGGCTCTGGCCAAGAATCT